TACTGCTGCAGCTCCTCTGAGTCCAGTGAAGCAGAGGAAAACCAGGATTGGCTCTTTGTTTTGGGGAAGAAGCCAGGAAACACATCAGCCCACGGAGGCCATGTTGGGGATCACAGCCCTAGACTGACTTGGCCAGGAAAATTAAGATCTGTGAGAGGGCACCATGACTAGAAGTTGACCAGAAACTAACTGAAGCATCTCCAACTAGCTGAAGCAACTCAGCTGGAGTCAGTCTCCAATGGTTGTTGAAGCTCCCAGGAATTTGACACTGATGTTAAGTTCCAGCTCAAGATATCATTTTCTAGCCCAACCACGACTACCATAGTTACTTTGAGAAACAGATGGTATACTGTTGCTTTTTTAAAAAAGAGAGCTTGTTTATGAGTGCAAGGCTTATCTTGCATGGAAACTACTTATGAAAAGTGCAACCCTGGAATAATTTGCTACAGAAAGAGTGCATCAGCGGATGTATTTCTAATCAGCAAAATCTTCCTAGCCCCAGGCCCAAGGTTTCTGTAATTACTAATGCAGGAACTGCACCACCTGCTTGTGTCAGCAGGTGTGGAGGGGGGAGAGATTTCCACCTCAAAAGGTTTTTCTTTTCAACTAATCATTTCTAGAGTCTTATCTGCTTCCCTTTTTACAATCCCGTGCACTCCTGTGAGAGGTAACAGGTCAACAAACTTCTTAGCTAATCTAGGTTTACTGGAGAACAAGATTTAATTTTTAAAAATCCACAGTTGCATTGCAAGTACAGCAGGCATTCAAATACTTAATAGAATATTTAAAATGAACATAATGCTCCTGTGGCTTTTAAATTGTTGCACTGAATACTAACAACCCCCCCCTTTTTTTACAATAGGCATATCTGGAATACTGTTTTGTAACTGAATGGACCCACTAGTTCAACAACCCTGATTCAATTAGTGGATTCCACACTCAAATTTGTAGCTCAAATTTACTTCCGGTTTATGGCAACACGCTGGCGGACATATCTCCTGGACCTCCTGGGGATGTGATCTGCGCACTGGCAGCTTGGGGGGGGGGGGGGGGG